TTTTTTTTTTTTTTTTTTTTTTCACGCACGTAAGTGAGATTATTATCATTCGATTATTGCAGATCGATAAAGACAATCGGACACGTGCGAGATGGATGTAGAACATTTGATTTTCGGAGGATTGAAAGCGGAACCGATAATAATATCGACGCTCTCGACGCTCGTGACTGTTCTGCTATACATTAAATATTGGTTTGATAGTTACGCTGTGACGAATATTCCTTCGAATTCATTGCTACCATCTTACGACTTTATAATAATCGGTAGCGGTTCTGCAGGTATGTTACACTATTTATTTAAACTAATTTTCAAAAAAAGATCGACAGTTCGATAATTCCTCGTCATTTATTCATTGATACAAAATTTCTTATAGTAATTTTTCACAATAAAGACAACGGCCTTTAAAGTAAGTTATGTGTGTAAAGAATCATGTATTACCGACTGATAATAATTATTCAATTATCTACGTCTTGAATATCTATTCAAACGATGAATATCTGTTTCTATTAACTTCTGCATTTATCTTCTAAGTTGACTACGTATAAGAGAATTTATATTCTAATAATTAATCTAATAATCTATATTGAAATTGTAGAGTAAAATCTCAATTATCGGGATACTAAATATTCGAACGTTCTATCATCGGAATATTTTAATATTCGACTAATACACTTTGTACTTTTTGCGTATGTGAAAGCCACAGAGTATTTAGTTTCTTTTACGAAAATCATCAAAACACCACAAAAATTTTCAAAATATCTTAGTGCTATTAGCAGACTAGCAGACTATGGGTTTCAGAAATTTGAAGGTGCAATGCACGTAATAGGCAGAAATATATAAAATAATTCAAGTGGAATTCAACCGATGAGAAGCAATGTCTCAACACTGACAGAATTAATATTCTCAACATTTTATTTACGTCTAAAATAAAAAATAGGAAAAACCGTCATTTAGAAATCTCATTCACCTTGCGAATTTGTTCCAATATAATTTCTGTCCACTTGTTCGTCGAATTATAAATTCAATCTTCTTTACATTAAATTCACGCGATTTCTAACAAATTTATTCCCCCTGAATCTTGTTTATAATTCTCGTTGTCAAGTGCTATTCGCCCAGCAAATTTGTTCATTCGTACCAATCTGATGCATTGAAATAATTAACGTTACGCAGGATCTGTGCTAGCGAATCGCTTGTCCGAGATAAATGACTGGAACGTTCTCCTCCTGGAAGCAGGTGGCGATGGAGTAAACATTTACGATATTCCTGCAATCGCTGCCAATCTGCAGCTCACCAGCATCGACT